GAATGTCGGTGCAATTTACAAAAGGCAGCCACTTTGCAGCTCCATAGCTGCCTTCACTAATAGTTTTCATCAGTCGGCTGGTCCACTCACAGTGGGCTTTAACCTATCTCAGCCATCTTCTGGCCGACTTCCACTTTTTTTTAGCTGACAAGGCCCACTGTAAGATGGCCACTAAGGCAGAAGAAGCCTGCAGCTTTTAGTGCAATTGGCTGCCAGCTTGTTTAATGATCATTAAATACGAAGACGACACACGATGGACGACGACGGCGACGACTGCGACGACGACGACGACACAGGAGCCTTGGGTTGGAGGCGCAGTTTTGATTCAAACCGCTCTTGACCAGGCCGTAATAAATGAGAACAGGTAGTCCCTCCCCTCAGCCATCCAACCTGCCACCTCCTCCCCCTCCACCTACTAAAACCCCACTCAACTCGAGCCCAGACTTGTTTTTTCCGCTGCTTCTGTTGCCCGGGGCCAAGTGCTTTGGACTCACTCTAATTAGTCAATTTTTTTACTCAATTAAATCTGCAAGGCGGCGAGCGGAGCAAGTTGGGCAAGTTGCCTGATGGTAGATGGGTTGATGGGGAGATGGGCCTGGAAACGGCGGCAGAAGAGGCACTCGAGTAAGCAAATGATGTGCAGTAATTAGTGGAGTCCCAGCGCATCTGTATAAACGTGCATACCCATATAATTCCCAGTTTGACTTGTCTCGGAAAACCTTGGCCCGCTGATGATAAATAATAATTTTTTCCCCACCGCACTGGCAATTTTCGCTGGCTGGCAGGCTGCAAGACTGCAAGGATGACAGGTGCAGTGACAACCACACATGCACGCTCCTCCAGATACACGTTCACACAGATACACAGATGCTCGGATACAGAGATACTCGGCTGCAAGTACAACAACTTACATGTCATACAAGTTGCCTCGTACATTTATAATCAAGCTGCGGCAACCGCAGAACTCTCGAATCGACAACAACCACGAGAACGCATGGCATTGCTGCCGCTTTTGCTGCTGATGATGTTGCAGTTGTTGCTGCCACATGATGGAGCATCTTCGACGATGACGAAGGCCCGGTAGCATCCCGTGTACTTGCCGCTTGTATCTGCTAAATGAAAACATACACGGGAAGCATGCCCCTTTCTCCGGATCCCCGGGCTTCCCAGCGAGCGGCTAAGCAAGAGAAATTGCCACAAACTGCACACTGGGATGCGATTAGAAAGTATTGAATGTGCCAAAAATCACTAATTACACTCTGCTCACTTGGTGAGAGATATTAAAATGTGAAAGCATTCGATTGCCCCCGCGAGTGTAAGGTGAAAGGAGCCAGCATTCAGTATTCAGTATTCAGCATTCAGCTTTTCGCACAAATCAGAACCCATCGTTATTAATGATGTGTGAACTGGTGAACTGGTGAGCTGGTGGGGGGAGGAATGCTCCGTGATTGGGTCAATGAGTTGGCTAAATATTGTAATTAGAATGGAATCAATTAAGGGAAAGGAATACCCCGGAATGACGCCAGCAGGAAAACAATTTGTTTGGGATCGAGTTTCCCAGTGGGAATGGCAGTGATGGCCAATCATTTATTTTCTTGTAAGAACCGACAGTCAAGAACAATAGATTGGCACACTTACCTTTAGTTCGTGTGTTTAAATGGTATTTGCTGTGAACTTAAGCTAGGTAATACATTGAACCTAGATCAAGCTCTCTAAGTTGGCTCTGTGTTAACTCTTTTGTACTTAATTGGTAACTAGATGGTATCTGATAGTTGGAGATAGACTTAAGTTTAATAGCATCAGTTAACTGATTTTCCATGTAACGAGTTATTTAATCCGAATTCAAGGTAAATCCCACACTAGATTTAGACCGCCACCGCCTTTGGACCCCTTGAGTCTGCGTCTTCCATGTGGGCTTGCCCCACTGTGACTCCAGCAAAACATCCTCATCAATGTCGTTGTCCGTCTGCCGGCGAACAGAAGCAGCCGCAGACCAGATCTGGGGCCACAACCTCCCTGCCCGCCCCCCGGTGGAACTACCCGCGCCATCTACAAATCGTGCAATGATGAAAACCATTGGACAAAGTCTTTGACTTGTATTCATTTTTTCCTGCTTTTCTTCGCTCCTCTTTTCCTTTTCTTTTTCTTTCTTTCCGCTTCTGTTGGCTCTTTTTCTGTGTGCCGCGGCGGCGCTTGGGAAGGCTTTTATATGCCTCATTCAGTTGCATCTTTTTGCTCACCCATCAGATGGGCATGGATAAAGAAAGGAATGGGGGTGGCGGTGAAGAGGGGACCCTGGTCTGTCCGTTTTGTCTGGGTTTTTGTGTAAAAGCGACTAATGTGTCTACGGAAGCCATTTCGTGCCTTTTAGAACCAGTTGCCAGAGCAATCTTCCAGTTTGTGTTTGTTTTGCTTTTGGCGTAGTTAATTCGCCAAGTAATAATATTATACGAGCGGCCAGCCGGGCGAAGTACTTGTGCTTATAAATGTCCTCTGGAGATGGCACTCTCAGCAGCCAGAAATGATCGATACTCGAGTCAAGGCCTGGCCAGGGAACTGGCATTTCTGGTGGCAGACTCACGATGTCATCGCTGGCAGCTCGACTTTGGCGAGGAGCACTTGTACTTATGAATGTCGTCTTCGTCTTCGTCTTGGTCTTGGGCAACATGCTGTGCAGCCTGGCAAAAGGAGGAACCTGCCGGACCTGCCCCCTCCAGGCTAAATTGGCTCGAATTTTACGGCAGCAGCAGCAGCAACAATCATGATGATGAGGACGATTGGCCTCGCCTGTGCTCGGTCTGTATTTAAGAGACATCATTCATCTGACCGCCCCATCAACGACAGTCGAAGTCTGCAGCCTGCAAACTCTGCCTGGCGATGACGATGATGGTGATAATGATGATGATGATGATGATGTTGCCGCTGCTGATGATGATGACGACAGCAATAATAATAACAAACAGCAAGAGCAACAGCAAAAACAGGGGAACCCTGTAGCCCTGTGTAGTACAAAGTACAAGTCCGCATAATTATAATCAACGTCATTTAACGTTCCCGGCCGTCACTCAGCGCCATCGAAAACATGGACTAAGAGGAGGAGCAGGAGGAGCTGGGGCAGGAGGAGCCATGTAGAGCTACATTGCCTGCTCCATCAAGCTTATTGTTGTGTATCTTTCGGATACATTTTTGATAACAGCAGCGGGGTGGATGGCAAGCACAATAACCTTGTCGTTGCGTTGGGAAGGAAGTGGAACATAAAAGTCACCTATAAATATGCCATAGAAATCTGCTAGAATATTGCGGTAGTATCTTCGAGATACATTTGTCGGATGGCAGGAACTTCCTAAAATTACTTTTATTGGTCAACATTAGGAAGAGATTGTTACTGCGGAGCCCATCCCGCTAAGATATTCAATTTTCCCCAGGGCAGAATGTTGTTCTGTAAGTTCTACTCGACTGATGAAACTCTTGCGATATAGTATAGGGTATGTCAAGGTCGAAATAGTGTATCATCAACTTCTAGCTCATACTCCTTATCGAGTTCGAAAGAAGAGCATTCCATCATCGGCCTTAAAAAGAGAACACTCTTCTTCTAATTCATTTTTCGTTTTAGGCTTTTCAATTTTCTGTGTTCTGTTTGCCAGGCGTTTGTTGACCTTTGTCAACTTTGAACACGCGACTAAGCACTCGGAATTAGCGAAAATACATTTCAGTATCCACGCAGTACTCAGACACTCACTAGCACAGGGCGGAAGGTATCTACGAGTTGCGTCGAGCCAGCGGAAGTTGGCTATTTATAACAAATTACCAACCATTTGACATTTACCCAAAACGCCGACGTCAAATTAAAGATTTGTGTGCGGGGAGTGTTGGCTGAAAAGCGGGCGGTGGGTCGCTTTTGGCATATAATCAAATGTAACCGCACACCAAATATGCGCAGACAGCTGCGATGGCAACCGAGGAGGAGGGCGACCAGCAGTCGGAGCAGGAGACGGACAGGCTGAGGGATACGGACGGACTAGACGTCGTCAATGCGCTTGCGGTTCGTCTGGCTAAGCCGCGGCGATTTAATACAATAAATCCCATTGGACGACCGACGACCTGCTCTGGCCTCGCCCCCACTTGTCTTGGCTTCCCCACTGACGGACGGATAGGCAGACAGACCAACGGACAGCGGCCTGACTCGGGTTCAGTTCTGGGCGACCTTCTTCATTAAAATTATGACAAGCTGTAATTATCTTCGATTTGCTTTGACCAGGCCACAACGCACTAATTGCGTGCGAGATAGAAGACTTTTGATATCCGAGAGGGGACCCGGAATTAGTCATTCAAATAGAGTAAGGTGGGGGTGGTGTGCTGGCTGACTTGACGCGGTTCAGCGAAGACATGGGAAATATTTTTGGCAGAAGTGGAAACAAATATCTGCAGAAAATCTTATCCTTTGGTTTCAACTTTGTGCCATTTTAATGAGTGTAAGTGCTGTTTCGGAAGAAACTTGCCATCTTCCTGTCACTGGGATACCAGTTTTGAGTTCTCAGTAGTCTTTCCTTACCGCCCTGCCCCCCAAATTGAATTTCCCTGCTCCCTCCAAGTACTCCAAGCCATTTCGTCTTCCGACGTACATTGCTGTGAAAACTGCGTGACCAGGCTAATTAACGCTTCAAGGAAAATGTTGACGAACTCTCGACAACAACAGCAACACCAACAGAAACGGCTACAAAAATTAACCGTCAACTTTGTTGTGATGTGTGGATAGATGGATGGATGGATGTCTGTGTGGCAGAGTGCCTGAGTAGCTGAGTAGCTGAGTAGCTGAGTAGCCGAATGGGGATGTGTATCTCATAGATACCGGTTCATAATTTATGTAATTATATGCGTTTAAACATTGCAGCACGAAAGAAGACCGAGGGCAGGCAGGAATCGAGTTCTTGCAGCCATTATAGCCGACAACAAATTATAGCAATTATATAACATTTTTCCTTTTTCCTACCAACTTTCAGGTCGCATCCGCCCGATCAGGCCCAGCACCAGCTCGAGCTTTGTTCATCCGCGGCTTTGTTCGTGTGACAAGCGAAACTAATGAGCGAGTGAGCGAACGAGCAGCAAATCGGAAACAGGAAGCAGCAGCAACGAAAGTAAAACTGCTTGAGTAAATAATCGTAACTGTGATAACACCAAAGAAAGCACAGCTCAGAGACCGTAAGACAGTTGCGTAATTACGAGCCATCGTCCAGTGATTTCGCGCGCAATAAATGTCAACGTGGCCACGAGGAAAGTAATCACAACTATTTGCTAAACCCAAGCACCCAGCAAGCCCAGCAAATCGCACAAAATGGCTCAGCCCAGGAAAGCAGTTACGCCAGCAGTGGCAGCTTCTGATGTTGCCCTACTAGCAACACGAAGCACGGCAGCAACATTGCGAAGGAGCAGACGACCCTCGGCAGCAGCAGCAGCAGCGGCAACGCATTCAAGTTCAAGGCGGTCATCGTTAATCACATGTTTTATATCCTGCCACACGTTCAGCTTGTTCATGCTGCTCCTCCTCTTGGCCAGCGGAGTCCGGGCTGCCGGCAAGCTGTCCACTCGCAGCAACAAAACATCGGGAACTGGAACTGGAGCGGGAGTAGGGGCAGGAGCAGGAGCCGGAACAGCAGCAACATCGGCAGCAGCGGCGGCAGCGTCGGGAACACCCATTTGGGATCATGCCATCGATTTGAATGAGGATTTTCGCATACTATGGCAAATCATTAATCAGGATATAACATTTGAAATACAGGCACGTACCCTGGGCTACGTCGGCTTCGGATTCTCGCCCGATGGCAATCTGGCTGGTGCCGATATGGCCATCGGTTGGGTGGACAAGGGTCAAACCTATTTTCAGGTAAGTGAAGCGCAAAATAAAAACCCAGAGCCCAGCACAAAGAAAGTTTCTGGGGAGGTGGACTGAAGCTTGAATACCCGTAGAACACTAACGATTTTTCATTCCCCGCCAACGTTTTCATTTTTCCAATGCGTGTGGCCGGAAATTAAGGGCAGCCCCGGCCGGCCAACTAAATGAAAAGTTGTCGCCCTAATATCATCCAATTTATTCTCGCAAAGTCTCGTTCCCAGGGCAAACATTTTGCGCTGCGACTGTGTTGATAAATATGTTGCATGAAAAATACACAAGAAAAACATTTTGCCACTCAACTTGGATTGTAATTAATTTGTGGCAAGAACAAAGTCACACAAAAAGGTGCGCGAAATGTGTATATACTGGACGGTTTCCCGGGCCCTTGAATAATGACAAACTCATTTGCGGCGTCGGACAGAAAAGTTTTTATTTGCACTGTCTGAGCTGGCTAATGGAATAGTTTTTAGTTTAGTCGTTGTTACTTGATTATATCACTTAATCCGACTGGTTGCGAGTTATGGGAAGATATTTATTACGGAATTATGTCACTGCCTTGGGACGCGCTTAGCCAGATCGAGGTCACCATCAGGGATTTGTCCTTTTCAATTACGAAACACTAAAAACACGAAAAATTATTACGAAATTATAGCATATGGCCACTTCTTGGCTTTCCAGCTCACATTTCATATCCAGAGGGTCACCTTCTGCCTTTGTTTTAACTCCATTTCGGCCATCAGATTGGACAAATTTGTGGCACCGATCAACCATTCCATTTCAATTCGTTTGACAGCCATCATCGGACCACCAACAGCCAGCCTTTGACCACGCCAGCCAATAAAACGCTAATTTTTCGTTTTTGTTTGGAAAGCCACCGCAGACGACGTCATTTGGCCAAGGTCCTCGGCCTGGAAGAGGAAGTGGTAGCACCTCCAGGGGTGACTCTTCAGGAAGAGTAATAGGAGTCGTCACTGCAAAGTGTCTAATGAAATGCGAGTATTGCGTGCTGTGGTTGCGTAGCTCTTCGCTTTTCCGTTTGCTTTTCCATTTTCTTTTTCCTCCTTTGCACTCCTGTCGCGGCAGAATATGCGTGAGGCAGGAGTGGGCTGTGGGCGGTGGGCGGTGGGTAGTAGCCGGTGTGGGAGGCCAATTGTATGGCTGACACAAACAGAGAAAGCTTTTTTCCTTCCTTGTTGTTGCTGTGTGATTTAATGATTTTCGAGGCATCCAACAGCCAACAGCGAACAGCCAACGAAAATGTCACCCACACACATAGTGATTGTTATTGTTGTTGAATGTTAAATACCAGCCAGATACATTAATATGTCTGTCTGCCCCTGCCACGCCCCTTCTGGCCCGCTCTGTCTGGTTGTGTGACGGTGTTAATTTCACATCTTGACGTGTCGTTGGTAATTGCGAGTTGCTTCAAATTGTACATACAATATCGTATAATGGGACTCGTGACTGTCACCTCGCCACCAAAAGTGGCAAGGAGAGAGGAGAGGGTGCTTTGACTTTTTGTATGGGCGCTGATTTGTGGAGAGGCTCAAAGGTTAATTAGAGCTGAAATAGATATGCCGATTTAATATATTAATTAGGTGCCACAGGTGCAGGTGGGAGGAGGAAGGCGCAGCGTCAAAGGTCCGGGACTTGTTTACACTTGCCTCGGGCGGAGACTTTTAGGTCCCTGCCCTATACGATACATACTGATGGAATTCCCCCACTCAGCTCAGGAAAGCTTATCGCCTATAAGTTCTTAATTACAAGTGTCCAGTGACCGGGCTGCTAATTGAAACAAATTATGCAATTATTATGCATATTTCCGATATGAAAATATTTATGGAAAGCAAAGCAGCTCCGTCGGCCACTAATTGGCTAATTTTTGGAATACTATTAAATTGTCAGGGCGACTTTGCCCAGGACAGATAGCCATTCCTAGGCATGGGGAATGAAATATGGATGGATGGCCTAGTACATTTTTATGTGGCTGGCATTTATGGAATTTTCATTTAAAATTCAACACACATCGGGAGAGAGAGAGCAGAACACTGACCATAAAATATTTGCTTGTAGAATTTGTTCAATTGACTTTAAGCGGAGCCAGAGCGGGTGGGGGCCGAATCCAAAGCCTAAAGCCAACTTCGAGAAGCTCTCTCTCTCTCTCTGTCAAGAGTTTTTATCTTAAGTGTCAGCCCAAGGGCAAATATATAAGCATAAGCTTAAGTATTTCTGGGAGGGAAGGGTGTCAGATAGGCAAACGATGGAGCGGCAGCCACTGACATAGTTCTCATTAGATTGAACAATGTGTGGGAATTTTCGCATTCAATTTGGGCTTCCTTCAGCTCGGTTTCGGTTTTTTGGGCAAGTGCCATGTGCCTTGGCATACTTGGAATGCTTTTTACTTGGCACGGCTTATAAGTTCTGCCATTATTATGATTATTTCACTCTCAAGTCGCTTAGTTTTGGCTTGGGGGGGAAAACTTAAAGATGAAAACCTCTTTTCGAGATAATCATTGTGTGGGAACTTAGTTTCGTTTTTAAATCTTCATAATTACAACACTTTCATGGAATATATCTCAATTAAACGCATTCCGGAATTATGTAAACATTCTGGGAATGCAAAGAACGCAGTTAGCAATCAATCCCATCAATATCTGTGTTTCCTCAATGTAAACAAACGGCTTTGAGGAAACTCGAAATGTATCTCACAGATAAACACGCATCTGTCTGACATTTTAAACATTCCAAAGTCTTACCAACCGCCCACACGCAGCTTTATTGGGATATCACTCAAGTGGGACAAATATTTGATAAGTTTCCTCGGGCTCTGCCTCTATCGCTCTCCGTCTCTGTCTCGCCCGGTTTTCCCAGCTGCCTTGGCTCGGATTTCACCCAGAACTATCATCATTTATTGGCCAGTTGACCAGCATCTGAAGTTGACATTCCCACAGCGCCACCGACGACAACAAGTGTAACTCTATAAGTCCGTTCTCGTAGCTCCCCTGCGAGCAGAAACTTTGCTCACTTTCACCCGCAGAAGCCGGAGGAGGAACAAGAGTAGGAGTCCGGCCAAGTCAAGTCAAGCCAAGTCGAGTCGAGACAAGTCAACTCAACTTGAGACGGAGACAGGCACTAAATGGCCTCAGCGAATCCGCTTTAAAAAGCTGACATAATCAACAAGCCAAGAAGTGGATCTGGGACGGGGTCCCGGCCTATTAGTCGCCCATTATTTCGTAGATACTTTTGCGATAAGCCCTTTGCCGTTGCGGCTGCCGCCGAAAAAGCGACGATGGCGATGATGATGATGCCACACCTAAAGAGAAATACTAATTTCGTGTAATTTATTTCCAACTTTTATTACACGAGCCCCGAGGAGCGGGAGTCTTATCAAAATTTTAATTAATACGCATCTGAGAAAAGTTTTTGTGAAAATGGTTTCAACACAGCCGCCCGGCCAAGGCCGAAGGCCCCAGAGCCAAAAGCTTCTTCTGACGTTAATTAGTGCCATCCAAAGTGGCTGGCGACTTTGTTGCACTCGCGGAGTCGCCGGAGGGAGGAGTGGACTACAACAAACAAGCCATAACAAGCCATTAGCTGTTTAGAGCAGCCAACAAAAACCAAGGAGCGATTAGTATCTTAAAAGTACTTAAAAGGTCATTACCCTGGCCCCATCTAAATACGCAGCGCAACAAGACAAAAAGTAGGGAATCCGAATAGCGAACTTGGCCAGCGACTAATTATTTAATTTCAAGTTTTAAGCATGCCTCCAGTCTGTCAGTCATTTCTAACCCGCAACCCGCTCTCAACCGAGTCCACCCCACGGGCACCGCACCCCAGCGGCCAGAGCGGCAACCCATTAAGCGCGGAGATAACAGATCCATTATAGAAGAATTACGAGTGCGCAACATCAGCGGAGCGCCATCAACATCCACATCACAGTCGTCGTCGTCATCTTTTGCTAATGACCATCGATGCGATGCGATGCGATGGGATGTCGATGTTTTGTGGCCATCGTAGTACATCACTCAAGCCGAAGGTTGCTTATGGAATTGACAGCTTAGGAGCAGGGGTATACGTTACAGGGCATGGTATATGGTATATGGTATCGTATATGCCCGGTGTCCATCTCCTTGACTCATTTTCAAGTGGTTACGCTGCACAAAAATAAGGCGAAGCTCCATTACAAACTCATTAAAGTGGCTCGAAGTGAAACAACAGATTTGGCAACCTTCTGAACCCCATGCGTGCGCACTTTTCCCCGAGATGGAAGTGTATCTGGCAGATACATCGGGCATTACCATCCGCATTAGCATTAGCATTAGCATTAGAGCTATGTTCTATTTGGACGTACTGCGCTGTTAATTATCGGCGGATGATTAATTATGGCAGTTCAGTCCAGTTCGAGCATAGCAAGATCTGCGGCTTGTCCGGGGTCTCCCTTTTGATTGGCATATGAGTAATGAGCTTTTTGTTCTGCGTTTTTTTCACTTTTCTGTTTTTTGGTTCTGGTTTTTTCGAGCCATGACATGCGAACATCTTAGAGTGTTTTGAGTAATTCTTCTCTTTGTACGTTTTGTGTGTGAAATTGTTTTCCCCTGTCCGTGGCCATACCACAAATTCTATCTGCTGCCCACACACACTCGCCATCAGTCCGTAGATACATCTATCTGTCCAACAGCTTGCATGTCATCACTTCAGAACTCCGAACTCCGAGGCTCTGGGTTTCTTTTTCAGTTTTTGTTGGTCGTCGCTCTTTGTATTTGTTTGATTGGAGCGCTGGTGCTTTCATTACTTTCTCACAGCTGTGGCCCAGTGGCGTGCTCAGCGCTTAGAATTCAATTAGTTTTATAGACATTATCCAATTTGTTCCTCCGCTTTTCCGTTCCATAGTTCCCGGATAGTTGGGTGCGTGTTCCGCGGGAGTGTTGGTCTGAGGGTATCTATAACCGAAGCGATTCGCGTGCTGACCAAGCTCAATGGCCATTCCGGAT